TTGTAAAACAGATGTAGCACACGCACTGTCGAGTCAAGTGCCAGTGGATTAGAGACCTGCTCCAGCGAGACCCGACGCAACAGAGTGCAGCGCGGGACAAGATGAGCAAGTGCTGGTGCGGGTAGACACTCGTGTGTGTGCGGGATGCGGGAGAATAAAATGGTTTACGGGACTCCCGCAAAATAGAAATATCTAAACATAAAATATCTAAAACAAATATATTGTTATTCATCTATTGCACAAAAGCAACATGAACTAATATAAAATATAAACGATTAACAGGTGCAAGCGTATGCAGAGTTTCTATTTAGGCTATAACACGTGTTTGCAGCGTTGAGAAATGCAGTGCTGAAATTTGCATGCTCACGAATCCTCTCGTTATAACACACGAATTGTAGACATTATGAAAGATTCATTTTGCATATATTTATTGTGTTATAACAGAGATTGCGATTAACTGATATGTCTGAGCCGCTTGCTTTAGTTAAAAATAACAGTGTTCTGTGAATGTTGATGCTTTAATAACAAATATTTATCGGGAGCGTGTAGCTATGCTGGGATTTCATACATTTCATGGAGAAAAAAGTAACGTAAGTAATTACTTTTGAAATAAAGTAATCAGAACATTAACGTGATTACTTTTAAAAGGAGTAATCAGTAATCAGTAATTTGATTACATTTTCAGAGTAACTTGCCCAAAGTGTTGGGCAGTAATGCATTACTTAGTAACGCGTTACTGTAATTTGATTACTTTTTTAGTAACGGAGTAATTTAACGCGTTATAATTTTCAAAATAGTAATTAGAGTATAGGTACAAAGCCGAGGTCTCTATACGTTACTGCCGCGTTACATTGCTGACAGAATGCACTGTTTTATAATCTAGAGATTGTAAAACAGATGTAGCACACGCACTGTGGAGTCAAGTGCCAGTGGATTAGAGACCTGCTCCAGCGAGACCCGACGCAACAGAGTGCAGCGCGGGACAAGATGAGCAAGTGCTGGTGCGGGTAGACACTCGTGTGTGTGCGGGATGCGGGAGAATAAAATGGTTTACGGGACTCCCGCAAAATAGAAATATCTAAACATAAAATATCTAAAACAAATATATTGTTATTCATCTATTGCACAAAAGCAACATGAACTAATATAAAATATAAACGATTAACAGGTGCAAGCGTATGCAGACTTTCTATTTAGGCTATACGTGTTTGCAGCATTGAGCAATGCAGTGCTGAAATTTGCATGCTCACGAATCCTCTCATTATAACACACGAATTGTAGACATTATGAAAGATTCATTTTGCATATATTTATTGTGTTATAACAGAGATTGCGATTAACTGATATGTCTGAGCCGCTTGCTTTAGTTAAAAATAACAGTGTTCTGTGAATGTTGATGCTTTAATAACAAATATTTATCGGGAGCTATGCTGGGATTTCATCAATTTCATGGAGAAAAAAGTAACGTAACTTGTAATGTAACTAATTACTAATTACTTTTGAAATAAAGTAATCAGAACAGTAACGTGATTACTTTTAAAAGGAGTAATCAGTAATCGGTAATTTGATTACATTTTCAGAGTAACTTGCCCAACACTGGTTATAATGCAGTGCAGATCAACAAAGCATCCAGAGTAGGTTTTCAGCCTTTTCCTGTTTCCTGTGATGCAGGGCTGATCACCAGCAGTCAGACTCTGGCCTACGCTATCAGTAAGTTTATCAGCGGAGTGCTTTCGGACCAGATCAGCGCTCGCTGGCTCTTCTCCATCGGGCTCTTCATTGTGGGTGCCATAAACATCGCCTTTTCCTGGTCGTCCACTGTCATGCTGTTTACCGTGCTTTGGTTTGTGAACGGGTTCGGTCAGGGTTTCGGCTGGCCACCATGTGGAAAGGTGCTTCGGAAGGTAAGGCTGACCCTTTACCTTTAAATCCATCAATATGCACCTGTCTTACAGTATTGGCAGTGTGTCCGGAATAGTTGGAAATTCTAACTGCTGACCTCAAGGCTCATGCTGATGGATTGCAGCATGTATTCTAGATGCAACAGCTGATGCCGGCCACATACTTGTGGAGTCAAGCTGGGAGCATTACAATACACTTAAATTTAATTAAAGCAACCAGCAGCAGTTATCTGTGCCTGACCAACCTGGAAGCACTTGTTGGTCTGCAATAAAATGAATGTCATTGAGTATTACATAAATTTCAGTGGATGATCAAATGCATAATGGTCATTAACAGGCATTGCTCTTGAATTTAAGTTGCCTTTAAGGAAATAAATGTTATTTACTAGCTTTTCAGTTTCTAAGTATTATTTACCTAAATTTGTGGACATTTTGTAGTCATTTTAGGTTAAAAAAATAAAAAAATAATCAAATTATTATTGTAGACTACACCAAACCCTACCCCTAATAGAAAACGTACATTTTTAGAATAAAAAAAAGTGTTTTAATTTTATGATTTTTTTTTTCTCACTTCAAGAATATCCCAAAAGGAGGTTTTATTTGCTTTATCCAACATTTTTAAGCAATTTTGACCTCACAGCTAAACTGTAGCTAAAGTGACTATGCACCCTGGGTTTTATAAAGAAACTGGAAGGCTTTTCTAGAAATCTAACTTTTAAATACTAGTAAATAACAGTAAATAATAATTTGAATAGCTGTTTTTACACTCTATCCTGTATTGGCATTGTGTTATTGGTTTTCCATGAAAAGTGTTATTAAAATGTCCTTGTACTGGCCTTTTTTCAGTGGTTTGAACCGTCTCAGTTTGGGACATGGTGGGCCGTCCTGTGCTGCAGTATGAACCTGGCAGGTAGTCTGGGACCCATCATCACTACAGTGTTGGTTCAGTACTATAATTGGAGAATCATCATGTCCATGTCTGGGGTGATCTGCATGACTATCTCTGTCGTTTGCCTTCTGACGGTGAAGAACGAACCCAGTGATGTGGGGTTGCCCAATATTGAGCCTGGTGCTAAAAAGGGCAAAGGGAAAAAGGGAGGTAAGAAAGCAGTGTATCATCTGGTGTTTATTAGTCTATGGAGAGAGGCATGTTTTTGAAAATTCAGATTTGCCATCACAGTAATACACTACATTTTGGACTATATTCAAATAGAAAATTGTGTCAATCCACTCAGTCTCCACTCTTTTTCCAGGCCCTAATGATGAAAGCAGTCTAAAAGAGTTCCTGCTGTCTCCTTATCTTTGGGTGCTGTCTGCGGGCTACCTGGTTGTGTTTGGGGTAAAGATCGCCTGCACTGACTGGGGTCAGCTGTTCCTCATGCAGGAAAAAGGCCAGTCTGCTATGATGGGTGAGTTTGGTACTTTATCTCTGTTTATGCTGAAGTCTTCTGTGTTGTTTATGGCCTGTGTTAGGATGCTAATGTGCTTGTGTGTTTTCTACAGGCAGCTCGTACATGAGTGCCCTGGAAGTTGGTGGGTTTTTTGGCAGCATTGGAGCTGGTTATCTGTCTGACAGGGCTGTGGCTAGGGTGGGTTCAGTTTAAAGTAAACTACATTAAAGGAATAGTTCATGCAAAAATGACAATTTGCTGAAAATGTACTCACCCTCAGGCCATCCAAGATGTGTATGAGTTTGTTTCTTCATCAGAACAAATTTGGAGAAATGTAGCATTACATCACTTGCTCACCACAGGATCCTCTGCAGTGAATGTGTGCCGTCAGAATGAGAGTCCAAACTGCTGATAAAAACATCACAATAATCCACAAGTAATCCACACGACTCCAGTCCAGTCTTGTGAAGTGAAAAGCTGCATTTTGTAATAGATAAATCTGTTCAGATGAAGAAACAAACTCATCTACATTTTGGATGGCCTGAGGGTGAGTGCATTTTCAGCAAATCTTCATACTTGCATATGGGTGAACTATTCTTTTAATTTGGGATGCACAATCACCCTTAATTGCTATATTGGTGCATCTTCATTATTGGATAAATTAGTAATTTGTGAATAGAGATCATGTCATCTGTTTAACAGTGACGTCCTGTTTTACAGCAAGGGCTGGGTACCTATGGTAATCCTCGCCATGGGCTACTCCTGATGATGATGTCAGGCATGGCTGTATCCATGTACCTGTTCCGGGTTACCATCACACCAGAGACCCCAGAGGTGATTTTGTTTTTTATCTAAAAATTATTCAGAGTTATTGTAAAATCTATTTGAGCATCAATTTTTGTTTTATTGTGTTGGTTAAATCATCATGTGTGGTTTCTCAGGAAGCACCACTATGGGTTTTAGCACTCCATCCAATTGCAATCCTCACTGGTGTCTCAGAGAAAGAGGTACATCCAAAAATTCACCACAATGAGAAATGAGATTTGAACTAATTAGCCACCTTCAGTGTCTTTTTTTCTGTTCTGCAGCTTTGGATTTTGATTCTTGGTGCTGCATTTGGATTTTCCTCCTACGGACCAGTTGCCTTGTTTGGGGTGATTGCGAGTGAAAGCGCCCCATCCAATTACTGTGGGACATCACATGCCATTGTAGCACTGATGGCAAATGGTAAATCTGCAGAAACTGTTTTATGACTAAATGCATTAAGATAAAATGCTCCATATAACCATAAATTCCCAATTATTTTTTTCTTTTAGTTGGTGCATTCATTGCTGGCCTGCCATTCAGCACCATTGCCAAACGGTACAGTTGGGACACGGCATTCTGGGTAGCAGAGGTCTCCTGTGCTGTAACAACAGTTTGTTTCTTCTTTGTGCGTAATATGCGCACAAAAATGGGCCATGTGCCTAAAAAGATGGACTAATCCTCTTAATCAATATGATCCAATCAGAGAGCCCTGCCAATGTGACAGTACTCGGTTAGGACATCTGTACTTAAAGGGATAGTCCACCCAAAAATAAAACATTCTGTCATTATTTACTCACCTTCATGCCATTCTAAATTTGTGGAACACAAAATAAGATATTTTGATAGCCAGTTTTGGTTCCCATTGTGTTGTTGGTCCATACTAAGAAAGTTTGGAACAACATGAGGGTGAGTAAATGATAACTGATTTGTCATTGTTCGATGGACTATCCCTTTAAGGAACTGTTTTAATGTCAGTGATACTGTTGTAAAAATGTATATTTTTAACTTGCATTTAAATTACCTTCAGTATCACATTAATTGTTTGTTGTCAGCAACATTCACACACTTCACAGATAAAGTGTCTCTGCTGTACATCTCTCAGAAGAACAGAATTTGTATTACTGTAAGAACAGAAATGTTTACACACGTAAATATATGTTGTTTATTTTCTTAGTACATATTAACATGATTTGTTTCACATGAATGTTGTTTCACTTACCACAAGCTTTTTAAGCTTGTTCATGTTTTGAAGTAACAGGTTTAAAGCTTGAGTTATGTGCTGAATTGAGGATCATCGCTTTCCAGTGTACAGACTGTCTTACATAGACACATATTGTTCTTTTGCACTTTAGATATCTGTACTTTTGCCTTCAGTATTACAGCAACAATTTTATTTTTTCTGAATATGTACCCACTAATTTAATGCAAACAGCAGCATACTTTATGTATAAAGGTGTAAAAATGTAGTATAAAAGTTTATTGTAACTAAGTTGTTTCTTATGTGTCATTTCACATCATTTTAAACATTGGTCTTGGTAATATTTTTCCTGTCTTCATTTATTTTATTTATTTTCGTGAGCTTAACTTATCTTATTTATGTTATAGTTTTAGTATAACTTTACAAACAGTGTGTTGTGAAATATATTGTTAGAAATATCTAAAGTTTATTCAATTAAAAATTAGGGGTGATTTCTGGTATACTGGGTCACTTTTTACCACTGAGATGATAAAAATTGCACAGTTATCTTGAATTAATTAATTAATATATATGTATATCAGTCTCTTATGCTCAGCAAGGCTGCATTTATTTGATAAAAATCCAGTAAAACAGTAATATTGTAGTAATATTGTAAAAATTGCATTATTACAATTTAAAATAACTCTTCTATTTTAAAATGTTATTTATTCCTGTGATGCAAAGCTCCAGTCTTCGGTGTCACATGATCCTTCAGAAATCATTCTGATATGCTGATTTGCTACTAAAGAAACAAGAAACAACTGCTGAAAACAGTTGTGCTGCTTAATATTTTTTGTGGAAAATGTGTTTTTTTTTTCCAGGATACTTTTGACGAATAGAAAGTTCAAAATAATAGCATTTATTTGAAATAGAAATCACTTGTAACATTATAAAATTCTTTACTGGCGTATTTTTAAAAGTGTAAAACAGGTGACACGTGTTTTATTTTGGGGGACTAATTCTCTAAATTTACCTCACGTTTCTAACATACAGTCTATGGTTTCTACACGAGAGCCGCACTCACTCCAGTCCTGCAGGCGGCGGCCGTGAACCACTGAGCGCAAAGACAGCACGGGCTGCACCAGACGAAGTGCACGCAGACAAAGCGGACGTGTGGGTGCGCGACTTCCTTTCTCTTCCGCAGCTCGCGACGCCTCAGCATGGTGAGTGCTCGAACGACTACACAATGTTATAAAAGATCACTTCTTACCCACTTCTCACGTGTAATAGCCGTATTATAACAACGGTTTCCTACGTTTTTAAGCACGATGAATAATATAATGTAGCTTTAGTGGGCCATTTCAGCGTATGTGTATGATAATTTTGTATGCAGTGTTTGCGCATCGTGCGCGAGGCCTGAACACGCACACCGCATTACCACACATTAAAACTATGTAATTATTAAAATACGCATTTGTTTTCTATAACTGTCTAGCCGCCCAAGGATAGTAAGCAGAAGAAAGATGCGGGCAAGGCCAAAAAGGACAAGGATCCCGTTAACAAATCCGGAGGCAAAGCGAAGAAGAAGGTAAAATACTTGGAACTCTAGTGTTTACCTCACGTAAGAGACATGTCAGTCATTTTTAAGTCATTAACTGTGATTTTATGCTGTAATTGTGTGCATGGATTGTAATTTTTGTTCTTGAGTAGAAGTGGTCCAAAGGAAAGGTGAGGGACAAGCTGAACAACCTGGTCCTCTTTGACAAGGCCACATATGATAAACTGTACAAAGAAGTTCCCAACTACAAGCTCATCACACCCGCTGTGGTCTCTGAGAGGCTGAAGATCAGGGGCTCCCTGGCCAGGGCTGCCCTGATGGAGCTGCTCAACAAAGGTGATCATTTGATGCTCTAACAATGATTGTGATTGATTCACAAACTGTTTGAGTACATCACATATGGCAGGGCTTCCAAAAACTTATTTATTTTTTTTGTCAGCCAAACGCCTCATCAAACTGTTAACATTTCAAATCCACTGGCTTTTATTTTGGCAGAAAAGTGGTGAAATTCTGTAAGCTGTTCACAAAAATGCTAGAAATTCTGCAAGTGTGTTTTGAAAAAAAAAGTGAACTTAGCACACATTGCATTCTCTAATGCAGGTCAAAATCAGCACATTCAGAGATGTCTTGAGTTTTATTATGAATCCATTATGGAGTGACATTTTGCGTTTGTCGTTGTCAGGTCTGATCAAGCTGGTGTCCAAGCATAGAGCTCAGGTGATCTACACCAGAAACACCAAGGGCACAGATGAGGTAGCTCCAGAGAAGGAGGCATAATATGGTGATTATCAATTTGGAATATCTCATTTTCATATTTGATGCCATCTGTCAGCTAATGTTGTTTCATCTACTGGTCTCCTATATTGAATGTTTATTCATCTCCCTTTCAGATTGCACCTTGGCTTGAGTTATGGACTTTTGTATAGGTAAATAAACAACCACAAAATGAAACTTGCGTTTGTGCATTTCTTCAACAAAGTGAATATGTACCTACATTGTAAGTGTTTGTACTAGTAGGAATCATTATGCACAATTTTGCAAATGTATATTGTGGTTTATGACAGTAGGATATTATGAATCTGGGGTTTAAGTAACAAAACCAAGCTTAATTTCTCCCAATTAAAACATAGACCAGATCATAATCTGTAATGTATTGCTTTTCTGTGAAGTATAAGACTAAAAATTGGTTATGGTGTTGTATTAAAATGGTAATTTTAGACAAGTAGGCCATTTTCAAATTGTGTTATGCTATACATATTTGCCATAACTTAAACATTTTTCATCTATATTTTTTTTGTTTTTTTTTTGTAACAAAGAACAAATAAGAGGAACATGGCAAGTTTTAATCAAAGCAAGATTATTTTTGCAAATATATCACTTTGATAAACATCTTCAAATCAGCACCTACCATCATTGAAGTTCAGTGTGCTAAAGTTCAGTTGATTTGAGCACAAAGTACTTAATGAGAAACGGGCACAATAGAAGTGACACCATATTTTCATGTTGCCTCTTCATATTTTAATAAGGCTTAAAAGGCAGCAAGACATTAGGAAATGGTGAGGTGATACCCAGTGTAAGACCAAACAAATAACAAGGATCTTTCATGTCATCTACAAAACTGGGGATTTGACATTTGCATTGAGGTCCAACACTAATGCATCAACAAAGTCTTCAATAGTAGGGGTTTTCTGTAGCATTCCTGAGAATCAAAAATACGAGTCTGTGAATATTTACTCTTAAGACTGACAGTTATCGAGGTCTTACAGAAAATGTAATTCTGAGTGGTGTTTTTACCTTGGACCATCAGCACAGGCTCTTTACCGCCTCCATGAGCAAGCATCTCTCTGTGATAATGCTCTCCCATCACTCTGCAAATGACAGTTCATCTCCTTTACTTTTTAAATAGAACAGACACCCTATACAACTACAGATATTTTGTATGTTTTGTTAGGGAACTCACCAGTCACTATAAAACTAAATTTTACATTTATTAAATGTAAACGGAATTAAAAATAAGTATTTCCAGTTGCCATGAGTACCAGTTTGATGTACATTATTTGTGCACTCAGCATCCATCATTATATATATATATATATATATATATATATTATGCATATGATAAAGGTGTTCTAAATGGCATGAGGAGTTGAAATCTCCACACTGACCTGCTGAAGGGGTCCTGTAGAAAGCACTGCCTCCACACCATCGAGGCTACTGCCCTGGACATGAGGTAAGAGTAATATTTTGCACCATAGCCAACCAGGTGACTAAATCTCAGCTGCCAAGCCTACATCATCAGAGAAAATGTAAGATAACCATTTTATTTTTTAAATCGTAGGTCATAGAACAAAAAAATATATGTAATAATTAGACAAAATGTGCAGAATCTGAGATGTGTCCGTGATGCTACCACTCACTGTGTCATGAACATATGGTAACCCGTAAAATTTCTCCTGCACTTCTCTGAGGATGTCAGTGGTTGATCTGTATTGTGGTTTTCCATGATAAACCTGGTCCAAAGCTGCATAGAAAATCTGTAAAGAGAAGCATTGCACCATCCAAAAAAAATGTATCACTAGAAGACTTGATATATAAAGCCTACTGTATCATATTTGTTACGCACATTTTAAGGCCTCTAAATTATCAACATAATCAAAACTTTGATGAAAAACCTATTCTATCTACTACATGCCTTCTGTCGTCTGATTGATAGTTTTTCTTTTACTAAGTAAAAGGCTTTTTAGTTTAATTTACAGTTGTGGTCAAAGTTTTACATACACTTTGCAGTATCAAATTATATTAAATTATCATATTAATTATTTTACCAAAATAAGAGGGATCGTACAAAATGCATGTTATTTTTTTTATTTATTGCTGACCTGAATAAGATATATCACATAACAGGCGTTTACCTATGGTCCACAAGAGAAAATAATAGTTGAATTTATAAAAATTACCCCCTTTCAAAAGTTTACATACGCTTGATTCTTAATACTGTGTTGTTTCCTGGATGATCTACAGCTGTGTTTTTGTTTTGTGATAGTTGTTCATGAGTCCCTTGTTTGTCCT